GATTGTACCTTGTCGCTTCTTTCACATGTTGCACTAGGGCACATGTGATAACCCCATCAACTAGTTCCTGACCGAAAGAATTCTCTGACAATTTAGTTCGCAGATTTTCCCAGTCTACCATAGGTGCATTAAAGTTCCTAAGGATTAGACATCGACCACTTTGTGACCAAGTATTGAGACTGCTTAGCAGTACTTCATTTACCTCACAGCTTGGACTGCGATAGACCAAACCAATCAGCAGCTCTTGTCCCTTGCATTTCAAGCGAAGACTAACTAATTCACACAACACACTCTCATGGGATACACTATCAAGTTCCATAATATCTATAGCCTGTGTCAGCCAGGTTTCTGTGACTGCGAGTATGTCTGGCTTTATAGAGTCAATCTGTACACCTAGTTCCGATCGCTTATTAAGTAAGCTTCGTGCATCGGTGTAAATCCGCCTGGAGTCCCTCCGGGGGCTACTGCCGGTCCCAAGCCCGGGTAAAGGGGCAGGGTTGGGCATGGGGTTAGCGTCCCCATCCCGTAGAAAACTAACTCGCTGAAAAAACGCTAATCAGAAAAAATTATTAAAACCTTTTAAACTCTGCCCTGGGAGTCAGAAGGTCTTCATTTAGAAGAATTATGACGCCTCATGATGAAAGCCGAATTCCTTCGGAAGTTACGAGGCCGATGCCCCTTCTGACAACCAGAGCGACCATTTATTTAGGTACATGGAATGTTCGTACAATGTGGGACACCGGGAGAGCCTTCCAAATTGCTGCAGAAATGAGGAGATACAACCTAGAGGTACTTGGGATCAGTGAAACACATTGGACACAAGTTGAACAACAACGACTAACTACAGGAGAGCTCCTGTTATACTCCGGTCATGAAGAAGAAAATGCACCACATACACAAGGAGTTGCATTGATGCTGTCCAAACAAGCGCAAAATGCACTTATACGATGGGAATCTCATGGACCAAGGATCATCAAAGCCTCGTTCAAAACAAAGAAAGGGGGTATTTCAATGAACATCATCCAATGCTATGCGCCTACCAACGACCACAATGAAGGCGTTAAAGATCAATTCTACAATAGGCTGCAGTCAATCATCGAGAAGTGCCCAACAAAGGACCTGACCATTCTGATGGGAGATTTCAACGCCAAGGTTGGAACGGACAACACTGGATATGAAGACATCATGGGACGACACGGACTGGGAGAAAGAAACGAAAATGGTGAGAGATTCGCAAATCTATGTGCCTTCAATAAACTGGTCATAGACGGCACCATATTCCCACATAAACGCATACACAAAACCACATGGACTTCACCGGATCACTCTACACAAGACCAAATCGACCATATTTGCATCGACAAAACGTTCAGGAGGACTATAGAGGACGTGGGAACCAAGAGAGGAGCTGATATAGCATCAGATCATCACTTGCTGGTCGTCAAGATGAAGTTGAAACTCAAGAAGTACTGGACAATGAGGCGGATAACATCACGAAAGTTGGATACAGCTTTTCTTCAGGATACTGACAAATTCAAGATAGTCTTCAGCAATAAGTTCCAGGCCTTTCATGATCTACTCATTGGAGAAGGAAGTACTATGGAGAGCAACCGGTAAGTGATAAAGGAGGTAGTCACTTCAACATGTCGTGAGGTTCTGGGTCACAAGGAATGGATCACTGTCGATACACTGGATAAGATTTAAGAAAGGAGGAACAAGAAGGCAGCAATCAAGACCAGTCGAACAACGGTAGAAAAAACCAAGGCACAAGCTGGATACACAGAAGTAAACAAGCAAGTGAAGAGGAGCATCAGAACCGACAAACGTAAATATGTGGAAGATTTAGCAACGATGGCGGAAAAGGCTGCAAGAGAAGGAAACATGAGACAATTGTATGACACGACAAAGAAACTCTCTGGAAATCGCCGCAAACCAGAACAACCAGTGAAAAGCAAGGAAGGCGAGGTAATCACCAACATTGAAGAGCAACGAAACAGGTGGGTAGAACACTTCAAAGAACTCTTGAATCGACCAGCTCCACTGAACCCACTCAACATCGAAGCAGCACCCACGGACCTCCCGATCAATGTTGGCCCACCAACTATTGAAGAAATCAGCATGGCCATCAGGCAAATCAAGAGTGGCAAAGCACCAGGACCAGACAACATTCCAGCAGATGCACTAAAAGCAGACGTAGCAGTAACTGCAAGGATACTCCACATTCTCTTCAATAAGATTTGGGATGAAGAACAAGTAATAAAAGACTGGAAAGAAGGACTTCTGATCAAAATACCGAAGAAAGACGATCTCAGCAAGTGTGATAACTACAGGGGCATCACTCTTCTCTCAATACCGGGAAAAGTCTTCAACAGGGTATTGTTAAACAGGATGAAGGACTACATAGACGCTCAACTTCGTGACCAACAGGCAGGATTCCGTAAGGATAGATCGTGTACAGACCAAATCGCAACTCTACGGATCATTGTGGAACAGTCAATTGAATGGAATTCATCGCTCTACATCAACTTCATTGACTAAGAAAAAGCATTTGATAGGGTGGACAGAACAACACTATGGAAACTTCTTCGACACTGCGGCGTGCTTCAGAAGATAGTCAATATCATACAGAACTCATATGGTTGATTAAACTGCAAAATTGTGCATGGAGGACAGTTGACAAAGTCGTTCGAAGTGAAGACCGGTGTTAGGCAAGGTTGCCTACTCTCACCCTTTCTCTTTCTCCTGGTGATCGACTGGATCATGAAGACGTCAACATCTGAAGGGAAGCGCGGGATACAATGGACATCTATGATGCAGTTGGATGATCTAGACTTCGCAGACGATCTGTCCCTTCTATCCCAAACGCAACAACAGATGCAGGAGAAGACGAACAGTGTGGCAGCAGCCTCAGTAGCAGTAGGTCTCAATATACACAAAGGGAAAAGCAGGATTCTCCGATACAACACAGAATGCACCAATCCAATCACAATTGACGGAGAAGATTTGGAAGATGTAAAAACCTTTGGATATTTGGGCAGCATCATTGATGAGCACGGTGGATCTGATGCAGATGTGAAGGCGCGGATCGGCAAAGCAAGAGCAGCATATTTACAACTGAAGGAAATCTGGAACTCAAAACAACTCTCTGTCAAACGACACCAAGGTCAGGATTTTCAATACAAATGTCAAGACAGTTCTACTGTATGGGGCAGAAACCTGGAGAACTACCAAAACCATCATCCAGAAGATACAAGTGTTTATTAACAGTTGTCTACGCAAAATACTTCAGATCCATTGGCCGGACACTATTAGCAACAACCTACTGTGGGAGAGAACAAACCAGATCCCAGCGGAGGAAGAAATCAGGAAGAAGCGCTGGAAGTGGATAGGCCACACATTGAGGAAAGCACCCAACCGCATCACAAGACAAGCCCTCACATGGAATCCTGAAGGCCAAAGGAAAAGAGGAAGACCAAAGAACACATTACGCCGAGAATTGGAGATAGACATGAGAAAAATGAACAAGAATTGGATGGAACTAGAAAAGAAGGCCCAGGATAGAGTGGGTTGGAGAATGCTGGTCAGCGGCCTATGCTCCATTGGGAGTAACAGGCGTAAGTAAAGTAAGTGCATTGGTGTAACAGATCCGAAGCCTGTTCAAGTGCCTTCGTGCTTCACCCAGAGTGGCTTCGGCATCATTCTCTGTCAAAGCCTCACAACCCGAAAATTTACAATTTTCAGGTCCTTTTCGCCAGCGTCTAACCTAAGTTGTAGTTCTTTTTCGGCTTCCGGTCTTTTGACACGGTTTGCCAACGGTAAGTCCTTTCGGATAAAGACTCCTGAACCCTTTAATTTGCGTTCATTCTGTAAAATTGCGTCACGTTCGTTCGAAGAAATGAATACTACTTTAGGCAGTCTGGAATGATTTGGTTTCGAGTCCGCTAGACTCCCTAGTCTGTACACCTTTAGCAAGGTGACCCCGGTCATATTTTGAGGCATGAGTTTATTAAGCAGCTGCTTAATCAGCACAATGTCATGCTCAAAACGAGCTTTAGGTTCAGAGCTATCGCTCTCCTAGACGCCATGAAAAATAGCTGATCTGTCGCTATGATCAGCTTTCGACTTTACGACTACATTTGCGGGGTAGGATTACCTTATATATCGCTACTTTTTTCTTCCTCACAACCTGTACCCATTCGTCAACGGTGCTGGGAGAAGCAACAACAGTTGCGTCAAACCTAGTGTTGGATTCTGGGGGATTGTCGACGAACTGAAAAGTCAGGTTATGTTTACCGCTTGAAACCGATCGAGGCTTGCGATTGCGGCTTCTAGGCGTTTCCTGTTGGATCCCATCTGGGGGACGGAGAACAGAAGAACCAACTTTCCTCGAGCTTTTGTTTAAGGCAGGCCCCTTTTGAGACTGCTTTTCCTTCTTTGACGGGCGTGAGTCATCTATTATCGAAGTAACCTTAGTTTGCTTCATGTCGATTTGCGTGTCGACAGATCGAGTGCTGTTTGACGCGTTCCGACTATGCTTGCTAAAACACTTCATTGCAGCATCAACCAGTGAGATGGCCTCGGTTAACAAGCTGTTTGCATCCGAGCAGCACTGTTGACAAAGCCATACACAACCCTTCTTACTGAACCGTTTGAAAGCAGCAGGTGTTAAGTTCGTTCAAACTTCGTGGTACCAGCCTTTGCACTCGTCGCACTGCATGCCGCTTTCGACGAGACATTGACAACCCGGACGTTGGTAACTGCTTTTTTTTTACATTGTTAGCTAATCGCAGGGTTATTGTTTATTGGATCAGTCATTCAGATATTTTAAAAGACTAAGCACTCATCATAATCCATACTCTTATTACCAGAAATAATCAGTAAATTATATTGTTTAGCAGGTTTTTGAAGCTTGAATGAAATTACATGCATCCCTTTGTTTCTGGTGAAGGACGGTGGGTGGTTTGTGTGTCCTAGGTCACTACGTCTAGACAGTCGTGTTTATGGCTCGTTCCAGAGCTCCTTCGTCTTGCTTTGGAGCCAAAAAGCAAAGGTTGGATGAGGAATCAACATCACGACCATGCGTTCCTCGTAATGGCCTTAGCACACCTGGGGTTGTTAGACATGAAATGTGTTACTTTTGCTTTGACGTCCTTCACAACCATTTGCGTAATATTGAACCTCCCCCTGCCCCCAAGACATTTCCAAACAGCTCTTAGTAAATTAAAGTCTTACTCATTTACCTGTAGTCCGCTTTTCGTGACATGGACGTACGGAAAAGAGGAAAAGCTGCGTGGATGTATAGGTACTTTTACTGCTATGAATATCCATAGCGGTCTTCGTGAATATGCGATTAACAGGTTTATTTATATTTTCCTAATATTTTAAATCTTTCAGTGCCATCAAAGACAGTCGCTTTTCACCAATAACAGAAGAAGAGTTTCCTCATCTCACATGTTCAGTCTCCTTGCTTTTGAATTTTGAAGAGGGGAAAAACTATCAGGATTGGCAGGTTGGTTTATATTTACGTGTCAAAATCAATAGCTTAGGGTTTTTGATTCAGTTACGTGTGTACAAACCCCCCATATGTCTTGACTTTTCCCGAACTATAGGTGCTGAATCATTTTATGATTGGCTCGTCCATAAATTATAGTCTCATCGGACTGGTTATGCCTAGTAATAAACATATTCGATTAAGTTCGTTTTTCATCGAGCCTTATACTTCGTGTAAAAATTTAGACTGCCGATTTTATCAAACGTTAGTACACAAAGATCTCAAACTTCAACCTAATTGTTTCAAGTTAATTGCTTTAGCCACCAAGCAACTGATCTTTGTCGTTAAGCTTTTCGTAATGCCTAAATACCCGTCCCTTTATTTCCATCATGCCTAACCGGGTTGTCTATTAGAGTTACACGATGCAATACTTTATTATTATCCATATTTCAATTTATATCATGTACGTGAGTATAACTCGGTAACAATGTTTAGGTTGGTGCAGTAGATCTTTAAGTTTGCTTTTTATTAGGGCTAATATTACTCAGCCGCTCGGATCGATAATGATGAGTCGAACTCCCGAATCGTGATTCAGTAACTGGGAATTTTGTACCCAAACTTTCCAACCATTACTCCTGTAATCAAGAGTGATGCCAGTCAGTTATAAACGACGTATGATCTAGCAAAAATATGCATCTATCCTAACTACTACATTCTAAATTAGTTCGTCAAAAATGGAACTTCAGAGGAGAGAACTTAATTTCGACGGAAACAAATTCTCAAACATCAGAGATGAGTTTCAAAATAAGGTAATCTGGTCAAAAGATAAGGCATGGCATTTAATTCAAGATCTCAAGGAAGACAAGAACTAGATAGAACTAATACATCGATTTCGCACCATTATCCAACAAGTGATTGAAATTATTGTACAGGGCTGAATCAGAAAGTGCGCGTACTGATATAGCTTAGACCAGTAGCTAATAGCGTCGTGGATTAATAACATGTTGATCTCTTCAATCCTAGTTTTTTTCCAGCCTACTTGCATGTCAGTCATCATTGGACATGTAAGTGGGCGTTGGTAAGACATACGTAAGCAACTACCTCAATCACTGATAATTTTTAGCGTTATCCATGGACTTAATATTTACTTCACTGGTATAATCGCAAAATTCTCATTGTTTTTCTAGAAATCATTACCAAATGAGTAATGAGTATCCCACCCCAATTGGCTAGTAGACTGTTCTGTGTATATTGAATTTGATTGGCTGTTGTTAACGCTTGTTTCTGACGTTTTTACCTAGTACTTTGAGCCTAACTTTCTTCATCTAGTTATCCCACTGTACATGAGTAATGGGTCAGAAATTCTTATGATCAAGTATGCGCAACCTACATAAGTTCTGTTATTTCTAAGACCACGCTTCACACGCATTTGGTACTAAGTAGTGTACTGCATTGTAGTTATACCCTCTCTCTGATAGACAAACACCTTTTCTAGACCACATGTAGTACGAGCTGACTTGATTAGTCTACTGAGCCTGGCTTATGGTTTTTCATGTAATTAATAATCCCATTAATCTATTACAACCAATGTAATTATCTGTAAAAATAATTTCGTTTTGTTTTCGCTCGTTGGAAAATACAGATGTTTAAAATTGAGTAGTAATCTGTACTTTCTTATTGCCTAAAATAGATTGGTGTTCATGGAATTCGAATTGAATTTGTTAATGAAAAGGGATATCATCGCACTGCTACGTATTTGCCTGAAGTTGCCTACAAACAAGGTGAGGCTCAAACTTTTTCTAACTTTGAGAGATAGCTAAGTACTTTTATTGCATTTCAGTAAAAAGTCTCAATCGATTTATTACATGTTCTAGGGTTTAGCCGATTTTGTATGGTTAACGATTCCCCTCCTGACTTTCTTATTTTGTAATATACAAGCCACCACATCCACGTCATCTATAGATTAATTGTTTAGGAATGTTAAGAATTTTACATCTGTAGGTCGTATCAGACAACGGTTGGATGTTTGAATAGATCTAACATCTTCGTCCTAATATTCAAATGAAATAATCAATTATTACCGTTATAACTTATTAATTATGACCTGTATTTTACTGAGCTGCTACCTTGACGCGGTGGTCGGGCTTGCCTTTCGTGATGACCTAACCGAGCTATATTGGCTGGAACATATGTTCCTGTAGGTTCTACCATGCCAGGCAGGTCGATTGGTGAACGGTAAGACTAAAAGCAGCAACTCAAGGTCTGAAGGCGAAGTCGTACTGCTGACTGTAGAGAGGTGTGACAGCAGTAAGGTGTTTCCCTCGGACAACCCGCATCTGCAGCGATGCTGCCTTCCCACAAGGAGGGGTGGAATTAGAAAAGGTCGACCCTAAAAATGTCACACCTCACCTTACCTCACGGATTTCCGTCTCCGGCTGTAAGGCCCTTTGAAGAACGGGGCCAACACATTAAAAACCTTCCCCGAAAAGGCCGTGCGCGACCGGCCTCAATCAGTTGTCCCTTGGGCTCTGCGGCCACGCTCCCAGGTCGTCAAGACCAACACTAATCTAATTTCTTTTTCAGGTTCCTCAAGAAATACCCTTTGACGGTGTGGGCAGCTGGGAAGTGACATCAGCCCTCATACCCGTAACAGCACACGAGATCGAGTTGGTCGCACTCAAATCCTTTCTACACTTCCTAATACCTCTCTTATCTCCATGACTAACCATTCTCACGTCCGTTTATCACCTCGCACCGCTAGGGCAAGCGACTTGAGTACGCTGAACGTTATTCCTGTTCTGAAACCACTCTCTAAACTACATGTTATATCTCTTTTCTTACGGTTATGACCCAGCTATTCCTATTGCTTAGTATTCTCGGACACCAATTCACTCGACAAGTCCCCAAATCAAAACACGGTTGAACAGGAAGAGATTATATTCCAAATAACAAGGTTAGATGGAAGTAAGAAGCAAGTCAAAAGCACAATAGGGAAAACGTCAGTATATTTATAGTTTTTACATAAGAAGATTCCAGAGTATTCTCCAACCATCGACTAGTGCTGATTGGACAAGAATTAGCCAATCAGCGTGCACCAAAGCAATCATGCATTGAGCATGCTTTAATCCAGTTTATATCCCGCTAACACCTCCCCTTTGAGCAGATTCGTAGGATCTGGTGCTAGGGTCCAACTGCAACCGAATGACTGGCCTGTGCTTTCGATTAGTCCATCGTCTAGGCAATAGAAAAGTATAACTCTTTTCTTGCACAGAAACTGACGTCTATTCCCGGCGTTTTGATTTCAAAGGTGTCTAGCAGAACATCAAGAGGTAACCGATATTGAATCTTGTTGCTGGCTATCGAAGTTGCTTTCAATTGGTTAGCATGACGTACCCAAACTTCCGAGCCAACTGACACCTCGTAAACCACACTCCCCTTCTTTTTCAAGATCCGACCAGCTGTCCATGTAGGATGTTTCCCACGATAGTCCATACCAAGCACTTTTTGTCTCACCGTGAACAATCGTCTTTGTGCCCCATGATGTCGGTTAAACTGATTCTCCATCGATAGGTTTCGTTGGGGTTCAATAGCTGGCGTAGGACGGATGACATCGAAATGTGTTCGTATCTTTCTGCCAAGTAGAGCTTCTGCTGGAGAGACCCCGTTAATTGTCTGAGGGTTCGGTGTAGAGCGATAAATAAACAGGAACCTCTCTAAGATATCTTCAGTGGTCCCTTCCCCTTTGGATTTTTTTAGAGCATTTTTAAATGTACTCACAAAGCGTTCCACTTGGCCATTTGATTGGGGATGGAATGGAGGTGTTCAGAGGTGCTGGATTCCGTTCTGCCGACAAAATTGTGAGAAGATTTCGGACGTAAACTGTGTTCCGTTGTCACTAACTATCAATTCCGGGATTCCAAAACGACTGAATAGTTGACGTAGTTTACTGACTGTGCAGCTTGCAGTCGGGTGTTCCATTAGAAAAATTTCTGGCCACTTGCTATATGCATCAACCACCAAAAGGTAAGTTTGTCCATGAAGTGGACCAGCAAAGTCCAAATGTATACGCTGCCACGATAACTGTGGTATTGGCCATGATTGCAGCTCTGCTTTTCGCAGTGCTTTTGTTGCTAATGCACATTTGGTACACGAACGGGATAGCTGCTCCAGTTGGGTGTCTAAATGCGGCCAGTATACATAACTTCGTGCTAGTGCTTTCATGCGATTTATTCCAGGATGTCCTGCATGCAACTGTTCAAGCACTGCTGGTTGTAGCTTCTTGGGAATTATGACACGTTCGGCAAACAGCAGACAGTCATCGATGATTGAAAGAGAGAGTCTTCGCTGGCAAAACTGTTGAAGCTCTGTGGAACTGATTTTTGACGACCACCCTTCTAGGTGGAACTTTCTAACTTCTTGTAGTGTTGGGTCTCGAAGCGTTTCTTCCCTGACTTCATCTGACGACACTGGAGTGTTTCGAATGGCATCTGCCACTATACTTCGTATTTCTGGGTCTACTGCTGTGGAGGCAATGATTATATCCTCTGGTCCAGGATGTTGAACTCCAATTAATCGGGAGAGAGAGTCAGCTTGACCGATAGTATTTGTCGACTGATACTTGATATTAAAATCATAACTCAGGAGCATTGTTGCCCAGCGCTGTAGTCTATTAGCCGTATAGACAGGGATTCCTTTCTTAGAACCAAAGATTGCAATCAAAGGTTTGTGATCTGTCAGTAGAGTAAATGTACGACCATAGAGCATTTTATGAAATCTTTTGACTGCGAAAATGATTGCAAGAGCTTCCTTTTCAATTTGGCTGTAGTTTCGCTCGGCTGGAGTAAGTGATCTAGCAGCACGGGCAATTGTCTTTTCTGATTTATCCGGAAACACGTGAGATATCACTGCTCCAACTCCATGACTAGAGGCATCAGATGCAACAACAATTTCCAAGCTGGGATCGAAGTGCGTCAAAAGAATCTTTGAGCTGAGCATTGATTTGACTCTGTCAAAAGATGCTTGACATTCTGCTGACCACTGCCAAGGTTTATCTTTCGATAGTAATTCATTTAGGGGACCTCTCACTCGATGCATTTCAGGCAAGAATGTGCTGTAATGACTGATTAACCCCAAGAAGGATCTTAATGAAGAAACACCAGTTGGTGCAGGCATCTTCTGAATGGCTTCGATGTTGGCAGGGTCTGGTCGGCGACCGTTCTTATCTAAGATAAAACCAAGGTATTTGATCGAATGCATGAAGAAGATACATTTTTCCTCACGTAGTTGGAAACCATACTCCAACACTCGGTTAAGGACTTGGTGTAGTCGATCAGAAAGTTCACTGTCAGTTAAACCCATAACTATGATATCATCTAGATAAGCTGCTGTACCAGGTATACCTGTTAGCATCGTATCCATTATTTGCTGAAATATGGCGGGTGCGGTCTTGATGCCAAATGGTAGACGGGTGTATTGAAATAACCCTCGATCAGTGTTAATGGTCAGAAGCTCTCTACTATCTTCATCTACTTCCACTTGGCGATAAGCATCGGAGAAGTCTATTTTCGCGAAACATGTCCCACCATTAAGCTTGGCAAACAGGTCTTTAGGAACTGGTAAAGGATATTGATATACATCTAATGCAGCATTTAAACCGGTCGAGGAATCGGCACATATGCGTATAGTCCCATTGGCCTTCTTAATCACTAAGATCGGTGCGGCCCATGCAGAGTAGTTAACTGGTCGGATTACACCAGCCTGTTGCAAGCGATTAAGTTCCTGGTCGACTAGCTCAAGAGCAGCATATGGTACAGGACGTCTCGGGCGAAAAATACGTATGGCATCTGGTTTCACTGGTAAGTGCGCTTTCATCTTGGTACAGTGGCCAAGGCTATTCTGAAAGACAGAGGCAAACTTTCTTTTCAGTTTTTCTAGTAACCTTTCACCTGTCTTCTTTGGAAGTACTGGGGTGTCCAATGATGAACACGATACGTTACAGACACTGTTAATTGGTATATCCATTATTCGAAGTTTGTCTAGCATATCTAGACCAAGAAGATCAAGGTTCGGCCGTTCTGTCAAAATGCAGTCTTCTGACCACTCTAAGCAACAATGCAAGCATGTTTAGGATGCGATTCTCCCCCTCGAAATGCAAAATGTTGCTTCAGGATTGAGTTGCATCGACACCCGTACTAATGATAGGGAGTGAAGAAGTTGAGCGTGTCGACCGCTTCACTTATCTTGGAAGTCTCATCAGCCCTTGTGGTCTGGTGTGTGACGAAATCTCAGCACGGATACAGAAGGCTCGACTAGCTTTTGCCAACTTGCGTCATTTATGGCGTAGGCGAGATATCCGTCTATCAACCAAAGGACGTGTTTACTGTGCAGCAGTTCGTTCCGTCCTACTTTATGGCAGTGAGACATGGCCGGTAAGAGTAGGGAATATTCGTAGGTTACTAGTATTTGATCATAGGTGTCTTCGAAATATTGCTCGTATATACTGGGACCATCGAGTAAGTAATGCAGTTTTTAGGAAACGGGTACTAGGTAAGGATGGTAAATCAATTGATGAAGTAGTAAAACTTCATCAGTTGAGATGTCTGGGACACGTTACGTATGCCCAACCACCGACTGCCTCGACGTGCGATGTTCAATGGTATAGGAGTAGGTTGGAAGAAAGCTAGGGGCGGCCAGACCAAAGCATGGCACAAGTCCATGCAGTCACTGACAAGTAGATTGAGCAATGTTGGTAGGTGTAGACTACCTGGTTGGGGACCGCGAGATGATAGCAGCCGATGGTTAGAGACCCTGAATGACATGGCTCAAAATCGTTTGCAATGGCGCAGGTGCATACACTCTTTGTGTTCTTCCAAATTTTGATCTCCTGATTCCTCCTTGTCTCTTTTTTCTCTTCCCAAATTTATTTCACTGTATTATAACATCTCCAAACCCTAATCTTTCAGATTACTGCCTATACTTTTACTACCTCTAATACTATGGGATTTGAATCGACAACTACATCTCTGTGCTAATGTGGTATGACAACTGGAACTGATGTACATACATACGAAGTTCTACATTGTTACTGACTGACAATCTACCATCTTACACATGTCAATCTCTTTGTACAGTTTTTTTATTTCTAGGAAAGATGTATGATATAAATCATCGTTGATTGTATCAGAAATACATTAATTTTTCTCATGAATTCCATGTTCTATTTTCAGACGATTCGTGATTTCTATTGTAATCCCATACAGCTTCACATGATATCTATGATCCAGACTTCATATATGTTCAACAGTTGTCTACAGCCTCTAAAATTTCATGCGATAACAATTAAGTTATGAAATTGAAGGAGTCCAGACACAATAACTGTGCTCTTCCTGGTTCTCGACAAATATCTTTTATTCTCTAGGTTTTCTGTTTTTGATTGTTCAGAGTTTATTTATTTATTTATTTAAACACATAAACATTGGTACAAGGAGGCACCCAACAGATATGCTAAATACAAATCGTTCGATTTATGTGAGTGATGGGATACTATTTGGTTACCCAAACCGAAGCAAGTGGTTTTCTTAGGGGGTTACACTCCGAAACTTTGAACTAAAGGTCTGATCCACAAGACGGTGGAGCAACGCAGTCTCATGGTAGCCGGTGACCAATAATTGGTTCATACGCCATTCGTTTCCGTACGATCCTGGAGCCCATGTGCACCATTGGTTTGGAATCAGTGTTTTCCAACTTCCCTAGATGGATCCTACGTATCCACCAACTCGGTTAAAGTGTCGGACATTCGCTTTTCGTCCTCTCAATTTAGTAAACAACACCCCTGTCACGAGAAGGTAGTGAGTAGGACTTCCCTGGCATTGGTTGTATGCACGTGGCCACTTGAGAGCATTCGGAAAGGGAGAACTGACTTTCCCCACTCTCGGCCGTACTAGGGCATTTGGGGGCAGAAACCGTACATTCATTTTAAACATTTACTGAAGTTCACATATTAATTGTTGCCGCGTCGTGGAAGTCTCAGCGTTGTTGGGCTATGAATAAACATTACGTCATGTTTTTCATGAGTTTTTACATAACAAAATAGTTTTTCGTCGCGAAGTACAATAATCGAAACTCGTGCCATGTATCCCCCCTCCAATTTTTTCTACAGTGTATCCACTTATTCATCATTAATCTATCAATCTTGCCTGTTTTTTTGTTTTTATAAAGGTTGGAATCATTGTGAAACCATCGATTCTCTTCTTCGAAAAGGTGGTTACCGTGGTAATATAAGTGAGGCATTTCGACAATCAATTCGGCTTACTAGATATCGTAGCGAAAAATATAGTGTGCATGCATCAGAGTATTTACGTGCTCGTCAGAATGGTTATCGCGTTTAATATGAATTGTGTTCTGTACGACAATTATTTCAATGTTTGTGTATGAACGAATAATAAAACAATTGGCTGCATAAAAAATGTACGCTGTAAATCGCTTATCTAACCTAAATCTATATGGGTACATCATATTTATTCTACATTCTTTGTTTTCTAAGCGTCAATTCCTTGTGTATTTCCTCTTTAACTATCTCCTTACAATTTTCTTTATTCCTTCCATAGTGTTGTTAACCTTTTTCCTTAACGGTTTATCCTCTAATGAAAACTTTGGAAGCTTCCTTTCCAGATAATTCAATTTATTTATACAATATGAATTTCCAGTTTAGTGACATGGAAACCAGTGACTAACACATCTGTGTAACAGTTCAGGGAACCTGTATTGTCATCTGTTAATATATTTAACATCTAAAAGGAGAAAAAAATCATCACTACTGCTTAGTAACTATTGGATTTGTTAATGAACGATAACAATACTACAACAAAAAAAAAACAAGTTGCCTTAACTACTGCATTCCAGTCACAATTGTGTTGATCCAAGATTTGTTTTTGTTGTCCTGGCAATATGTATGTTATTGTAGTGAATATTGTTATTATTAATACACACTAATCTACTTGTCTTTCTTTAATACAATCTGAATTAGACTTGGTTAATAAATTAACAAAATAAAATGATAATCCATATGATATAAGAAAAGAAAAGAGAATATATATATATATATATATATATATATATATACATATATATATAAAGATTGGATCAATCCAAATGATCTATTCAACTCAGGTTGATTAAATTTTACGAATAAAGACTAAACATTGACCTTAACCAATAACAATTACAATAAACGGGTTCCCGTTGTTGTTGTTGAAAGGCTAGCTATGAAATTTCACTTGTAGTGTTGTTGTATTCTCTGTCTTTTTTTTCTTTGTGTTATTTTGTCTAATGAACTATGATGGTTATGATTATGATTACCATTACTGTTTTTATCATAATTATATATATATATATATATATATATATATATATATGAAGTAATCATTTGACAAAACAATACTGCACATATATATATATATACACACACACATCCCAACACAAGTTGCTATAGTATATATTAATGAAGGTTTCCTTTTTTTCTACAAATTTTATAAGTTTTTTTCTTTTTTTGTTGTTGTTGATTTAATTATCTTATTGATAGTTATAATCATGATAATATTGTAAAAATGTGGAAAAAAAACCGAACCCAGCCCTCTTATGTTTGACAAATGATCTATACATACATATATGTAACGCTCAATATGAAGTGAATAGAATTTGTTAGAAGTCATCTTTCTCTGTTTCATAAAGATATCTTTTGTTACTGTTACAGAATGGGATATTAATGATCATTGATTGTTATTGGTGAATTGTATGATTTCATCCAAGTCACACACACATGCACGCGCGCAGTATATTCATATTTGTATTTTGTATATTTATGCATTTTGTTACAGTACTGTTGTGTATTTTGTGCTTATTATGTGAATGAACGTGCACACACACACGCGCAAAGCTATATATATATATATATATATATATATATATATATGCAGCAGTTTGTGCCTTGTACATACTAAACAGAAGGTTCAATTATTGGAAACAATTACAGTTTAGGTGTTTAAACACTTAATTCATCGTATTATATATTTATGTATGTTTATCTTTAAAACACAATGCTTTAGTGCTAATAAAAATGACCTTTAATTGCTGTATTACGTTATACATTATTATTATCATTATTAGTGATATAAAAATTGCTTACATATTTCTGTTTTACATTGCAATGTACAATATTGTTATGTCATAAGTAGGAGATGCATTTTTCAAGACGTCATTCTGTGATAGCGATGTTGCTGAACACATCTTTGATCATTGAAATGATAAGGAGGATGAAGATCGTTAGACGATACCTAATGAAACTATATGGTCAGCTGATAAATCCTGAAAGTAGTGAATTAATCGTTAAAACTATTCAGATTCCAACTACAAAATAGTCGTCGGTTCAAGTCTCAGTCTACAAACCTTCTACACAAGTAGCTAATCTGATTAGATTAGTGTAGCTCAAAACTTAGTAGATATATTTTCATGTATTTGATAAATATTTTACAACTGTAATAGCTCATGAAATCGAGTTATTGGGTCAAGTGGTGTCATTAAAATAGCATGGTCAGGGAGTGGAATACATTTTTCTCCTAGTAAAATGACGTGCCTATATACAAATTATTTGATATGAATTAACATTAAAAAGTCATTTGCAATGCAAGCGCCTGAAAAATGCAAATTTAACTGGCCACTCACCAATGAGATTTATTCCTACCATTCGTTCAGTTAACCATTGAATATTAGAGAGAACAATAAAAAGTGACATAATCTGTGAGGGTTTTTACATTTGATTTACGCTATACTGTATTACTATTCTACTGTTGCAACTTTGGGTTTTAAACATGGAATTAATTGGTTGTAAGTCACACATAGCTTCACAATGATGATTCTTAGTTTGTCTTGTTATCTTCTGAAATACTGCAATCTATAACTCCTTTAATGTTGGTTGAGTGCATAGGCACCAGGTAACACGGAAATCAGAATGATTTTAAAGATCTAGTGTTTTTCGTTACTTTTTTCGAACCGAAACAAGTTATCTGGCAAAATATTCTTTAAGTAGCACTTTTAGTTATTCGCCACCAGATTGATGACATCTGTGACTTTCATCATCCAACTTCTTGATAGTGAGAAAAGCACTTGCTTGATTTCTTTCTGTTGGATCAATCCCCTAGTTTCTGTTAATAGGAACCGGTTGCAGACTGTGCTCAGAAGACATTTGATCATGAACAAGATTAGTTTGAATGGATTTAGATGTAAGAGGAGAGCTTTTATTTCCCAGTCTCCCGCCGTAAAAGGATGCTTCTTGAAGAATCTGGAAAACAAACCGGGTTAAGGATGGTCTTGGTGATCTGAAGGGGCAACTATAGAGGTCAAGGGACAACTACTTATGACCTGTCACACGATGTTTTTGGTACGTTAACTCCTTACATTTCAGACTACGATCTCCAACAGCAATCTGTGGGAGGAAGGTAGGGTTAAATGTTTTTAGGACCCATCCTTCGTAACTTTGTATCTCTGAAGATCCTAGTTCTGTGGGAAACAACGTATTCGCGCTACACTCCAGGACGAATTCGTTCTGTCAAGTTGTCCGTCACCATCTCCCACCTATAATTATTGTGACCATCACCCCCGATGTAAATGACAATCAATGACTTCAAGTCTTATGTAAAACAGTTCAATAATTTTAATATCGTATATATTTTGTTTCATGACGTATAATGAAAATGTCTAAAAACGATCTTTTCATCAAGCCAGTCTAAAGTAGCTGAATACTCTCTTAACAGCACAACCATTTTTTCAGTAACGGGTTTCCATACAATCTTGAAAATAAATTAAGGTTTTCGATTCTGTAATTTGTATTCCTCGACTAAAAATGATGAGTGGTATGTTTATTAATGCAATCATCTCAGTCCTACAGCAGGTCAACCGAGCAGTGACTAACATTACTGAATGCTGTGCGAAGTGAAGAAGGTTCCGATTCTTCATGGGACATCAGTTCTCTGAATATTAAAAGTACGTCTTGCTCTCAAATCTTAAACAATGTAAAATTTTTGTTTAAGAATTCCTACTTGAAGTGTTTAACATCAAATAGATGGATCACAATGGTGATCATTATTTAATGTACATCAATAAGATTCAGTTAGAATTAATGGTATTTATTAAGTGATAAATGTCAATGTGCACAGTCAGTTTAATATCTCACACTATGAGTTGATCTTAGTTAGATAATCATAAGAAATTATGAAGCACTGAACAGCTCTTTCGTCCTGTTACGGGACCCACCAATAGTGTACATTCATTATCCTATCGTAGATTAAACCCAAGACATAAAGGTCTCATACCAACCGCTTAACCTCTAGACCACTAAAACGAAGTCCAATAGTTTACATATTCAATTTCCATTCGCCTTTTTAATATTATGTAACCATCTAATCTAATTAATGGATAACTGCCTTATACACATTATGCTTGAACACTGACTTCCGTTTACTACTTTAGCAATTATTTATTATTGAAATCATGAACCGAACAATTCCAGACCATTAGTGGAAACCTGGAATTACTGGATAGGCATCTCTTACTAGTATGAGACTCCTTAGCAGTGTACATCTACGACCTCGCACACAGGGATCTAACCTAGAAACTTCGATGTCACGCGCAAACGCCTGACCAATGACTTAGCATCCAATTGTATTAATCTTTAACTTCAATCTTTCTACAATGGTAATCTAACATTGATCAGTTCATGATTTTCTTAAACGATAAAATTTTGTATTTTATTTGTATCCACTATTCACATGTTATTTATAACATCATTGAATACCGGCTCAGTGGTCTAACGGTTAAATGCTCGCGCACGAGATTGATAGGTCCTGGGTTCGAATTTCGCGAGACGGGATCGTAGATGCACATTGCTAAGGAGGAGTCCCAAAATAGGATGAAACGACCATCCAGTATTTCCATGGTGATCTACTTTCAATTGACTTATGATCTCAACCAATTCAAATTACTTATAATATCCACCAAAAAACCAGTAATGAATTTTTTTGTAAATTACAATATATCGATTTCAATTACTCGATAAATTGTCAAGTGATTAGTTTCTATATTATAGTTTGGAATTTTTTGTTGCCAAGTGTTTTCTGAATTTTTGTTTGTTTGTTTGTTTTTGATGTAAAATTCAAGTGAAAGAATTAAAATACTGAAGTTTATTTTGTTGTTCTGTTGTTGATGGTTTAACTACATTCTTTCAAATAATCAAGAAGATGGAAAATATTTGAAATTCCAGTTATTCTAAATTGATTGATGTGTAACAAGGTAAATTTTGTTGTTGTTGTTTTTGTTAGAAACATAACTGTTTTATAAGCAAAGATGGATAGTGGCCAGCAGTGGAATCCAGGACGTGTGTTTAATCCTATTTTGGACTCCTCAGCTGGATTTACTCACATCTCAGAGTTGATGTTCACCCTGGGACTAGAACTCAGTACCGTTCGCTTCAAATGCCATCGCGTTATCCACTTAACTACTGAGTCCCGAGTCCATCTTTGCTTATGATGCTTGTAAATCAAGGCAACATCGAGGCAATACGCGCAGTATGCACATATACCAATAAGAGACTGATCAATTGCAGTCCGAAACATCCATGGGAAGATTCAAGTAAAACAATACCAAGTGAATTAACGTAACTGTTTTGTTTAAAGAAACTGACATATTAGTACAGAAGAGATTTTATTTTAATCTAAGTATAAAATTGCAAACAGCCTATTGTAGGAGGAGGACAAACAAAATTCCAAGTGAAGAGGAAATTAGGAAAAGACGATGAAGTTGGTGGATAAGATATATATGGAGGAAATCATCAAACTGTATCACGAGGCAAACGTTAACTTGGAATCGTTAATGGGGCAACGGAAAAGAGGAATTGGAAGCAGATATGAAATGGATGAGTAGTGATTGGAAAGGATTACTTAGGAAAGGGTTGAATGGAGAGTGGTGGTGAGCGGCCTATGTTCCTCCACCAGGGTTAACAGACGTAAGTAAGTAAGACGAAATTACAAGAGTATTAA